CACCACGTCCCGCGCTGCACCAGCCTGAGGGGAAAGAGGGCCCGCCACCGCCCACGTAAGCCAGGCTTAGCCTGGCCTCGCACGCCGGCGTGGCGAGGGAGACGCAAGGCTGGGGGAACCGCGGGCGGGGCAAAGGGGATGCATAAGGAGCCAACTAACAGATTCCAAGTTGGGCAACACCAGAATCATGCAATGTACCACTAATTATCAACCGAAACGGGGATATAATCAAACGAAATCGCATAACTGAGCAGCACAAACCTCGCAAATTCACACAATACGCATGCGGATCAGCCGAATACCCATCGGATCGGCACAAATGGCACAAAATCCAGACAAATCGCGCGACAGCGAACCAACCCAAACCTAACATGCGTCGCGCCACACCGGAGGAGAGGCATGGCGAAGGGTTCGAATCAGGTACCTCCACGGAGCAGCTGCGCCTGCCACGGAGCACGACCTTGTCGAGGCCGCCGGGGGCCGTAATATACTCCAGGAAGGGCGATGAAAGCTGCGGCGGCGGCGAGTGGGGTGTGGCTGCGGCCATCGCGTTACGCGCCCAAGCGACGGCGTCTAGGAACCCCTAACCTAGCCTGCGCGCTCACCCGCGGACACACCAGTTTTGGAGGTTTATTCGGTGGACGAAGGCGAGGCGTATCTCTGTCTCAATTCTTGATTCGTGCCGGGAGATTGACGTTCGTCACGGACACAGGGGTTATTTGTCATGGATTTCTGGCCGTCGGATCTTCTCCTCGGGCCGGTTTCATCTGTTCATATTTTTACCGTAACGGCGTGTTTGGTTGGAGGTAATTAGATCTAGGGAATGGAAATTGAAGGGGTATGAGACTTCTAATCTACTGTTTGGATCGAGGGATTGGGAATTCAGAGGGAAATAGGCATGGGACTTTAGACTCCAACTCCCACCGTTTTATTAACAGGGGAGGGGGTGCGAGTTGGAAGGAAATTGTTTTAGTGAGTCAATCTTAACCCTTCATCATAACTTACGTTAACTTTCCATGTCTAGTCCCTCGCCAATTCCCATGAAACAAACAAGGGAATACATTTTCTCCTCAAATCTCACACATAATTTCTATTATGTGCCAAACAGAGGATTGGGAATAAAATGTCTTATCTCATGTCTAATCTCAATACAACTCCCTACTCTAAACTCTCATTCCCCTTCCCAAATATTACCAAACACGTTGTAAAGGATGAAAGTCAGCGTCGCGTTGAAATCTAGTAGCCGCTCATGAGCTCTCGCTTGCCGTCGCCACGCTCCAGACCCTTCTCTTTCCGCTGCATCTCCCCATCGCAAGGCTCCGCCGTTGATGTGCTCTGCCTTTCCATCTGCCACGGCTGCAACACTCGACCTCCTTCTCAGCGCGAGATGGCCTCGAGACGACAACATGGGTGCAACATGAGGAAGGAGGCGGAGGAGAGGCAGCATTGATGGGAGGGGAGTGTGTTTGTGACTTGCTCTTCTCCTTCCCTTTCCTTTCAGTCTTCAGTACTCCGCTCGCTTGTTTGTCCTGCTGTTTTGGTCCGTGTCCGGCAAGCGTTGGGGTTGTTTGCATATGGAGTCAGAGCAGCGGGTTGCGATGGCCTCACTATGTCATGACGCTGGTTAATATTGCGGGTCACTTGTTCCTATGTCACTGCGTCAGATCTATTGCTGAGACTCAATCAGTAGGTATGCGTATATTTTTCTAGTTCTTGGTCATCTCTAATGCTTGTCCGTGATTTTTTGTTTGATTTTGCTGCAGATTGGTTTGTTGCTTGTTTGATCTATACCTTCGCCTTGTGTCCCTGTTGCTGCTCTATGCACTGATTTATAGGTCGATCTCTCTTCCCCTTCTACCCTCTATTTGTCTTTCCTGTCCGACCTAGATTCACGTTCATACGCTGGTGAGCCACTGCTTATGCTCATGTTCAAATTGCCAATGGGTGCCTTGTGTTCTTTGTTTTGTTCCTCATAGATAGGGATGCTATTTTGAAACTTTTATGCCTATTGATAGATGCTAGAACTATTATTTCCTTGGTGTGTTGGATTTTGATGGTTTCCTAACCTTTCTTTTTTGTCATTGGTGAATTATATGTTTATGCCTCTTGTTACTTGTATTGATCTGGTAGGGCCTAGGGTTGTCATTCCTTTGTGATTCTTTCCTTTGTGATTCTTGGTTCATGAGAGAGTAGGGGGCGTTTGGGGGCATTTGGATTTGTGGCCATCAGACCTCCTCCTCGGGCCGGTCTCAGTCGTTCATGTTTTTAACGCAAAGGATAAAAGCCAGCGTCGTGTTGAAACCTAGTAGCCGCCTCACGCGCACTCGCTTGGCGCCGCCACGCTCCAGCCCTGCTCCCGCTGCCTCTCCCCATCGCAAGGCTCTGCCGTTGTTGTGCTCTGCCTTTCCATCCGCCATAGTTGTGACGCTCTGCCTGAGTAAAATGCATCAGTGCACCCTAAACTTGCTGGTTAGGACCAAAACGGTCCTCAAACTCTGTAACTGCATCATTACAGTCCTAATACTCGTCTATACAGTGCCAATACGGTCCTCCAATTTGGTCCTGCGGTCCTGGCGTACGTGCAGCATACGAAATCTCTGTACAGAGGCGTATTGGGTCGGCCACGTCAGCTAAGGAGATCGGCCGCAGAATCTCTCATACAGAATCTCTCATCTGCTCGCCCCTGTTCGAGTTTTCCCCTGTTCTTGGACGTGGCGGCAAGGGACGGCTGATCGGTGACGGTTGATCCCCATGCGAGCATCGGGGACAGAGGAGGAACGCAGGGCCGCATTCCTGTAACTACAGGCGGTGGTTCATGGCCGCGACGGTCGGCCCCATACGACGCCATGAGAAAACGGCGGCACCCACGTACGGTGAGTGTCAAACTTCCTATGGATTTGCCTCTGAAACTTTTGCCTCTAACAAGTGTTTTCCAATAGAGTAGGCAGTGGTTTGGTGATCCCCCATGATTTATGCGTTTATTTGGTGGGATTTGACGCACATTAGCCTAGGGTTTACAGATTTGTAGGGTTTTTCTGAAACTGAATGTCTGAATTAGTTCAATTTTGCCCTGTTTGCAGCGAAAGACAGTGATTTTTTCACTTTGGAGTTCTTTCATGGAGGATTTTCCATGGCAGCGGAAGAAACAGGGCCTATCTGAATGGGAAAAAGACTTGTTATGATTTTTGCGACACTCAGTGTGTATGCATGAAGATGCTTGAAGATTTGATAGAGCATATTGGGTATGAGATGGCTGGTAGGGTTTCCATGTACTGGTTGCTACCTGGTTCTCAATTGAATGAAGATGGTGCAAGGTTGTTATCTAAGGAAGAGGATGTTGTTGACATTGCGAGAATGGTAAAAAGTGGGCACCGGTATTTGATGATTTTTATGGATCATGAAGACAGCTACAGTGGTGGTATTTACCTCCTGTTATCAGTCCTAAGAATAAAAGCATTGGTAATGTTAGTGGTGAAGAGGAAAGCATAGTTGATGGTAGTTATGTTGACGACAACACTCTATGTGAGGCCAATGAATTTGTGAGCATTGAAGAAGTTGTTAGGTTGAGGCCAAGAGGAAAGCAAGGTAATATTGATGAAGAAGAATGTGGCAGTGATAATGATAGTGAAGATAGTGACTATGTTCCCGAGATTGTAGATAGTGATTATGATTTGGAGGATGGTGACGAGGACTTGGTGCAGGAGCAACTACATTCTGTTAGTGATATGAAAGGGAAGCAAGTGGTTGAAGATTGTAACTCTGAAGATGAGAAATTAGAAGCTCCGGAATCGGATGAGGATGAGATGAAGTTCAATTTCAAATCTTTTACAGCCGAAGATATGCATGATCCAAAGTTCCATGTGGGGCAACTATTCTCATCAGTTGATTTGCTAAGAAGAGCAATCAGAGAGTATAGTGTGAAAGAGAGAGTGAGCATCACATTTCCCAAGAATGATAAAACTAGGATTGGTGCTAAGTGTGAGGATGGATGTCCATGGTATCTTTATGCCTCATTGGACAAAAGGACAAATTCAGTTATGGTGAAAACCTTCAACGGTGTGCATCATTGTAGCAAGAAGTGGCAAGTGAGGGCATTTACTGCCAAGTACATTGCTAACAAGTATGTGGAGAAAATAAGAGCTAATGAGAAGATAACCTTGAAGGGATTGGCAGCACTTGTGCAAGAAGACTGTAACATGACAATTAAAAGGGGGAAACTAGGGAGGGCCAGAGGACTAGCTTTTAATATTATATATGGTGATGAAATAGCACAGTACAACAAGTTGTGGGACTATGCAAATGAGCTAAGGAGATCCAATCCAGGAAGTACATTTTATTTAGACCTTGATGAAGATGGTAAGTTTGAGAAATGCTACTTTTCCTTTGATGCTTGCAAGAGGGGCTTCCTATCAGCTTGTAGGCCTATTCTTTTCCTCGATGGTTGTCATTTGAAGACACAATACGGAGGCATCCTACTTAGTGCAGTAGGAATGGATCCCAACGATTGCATAATTCCTATTGCACATGCGGTGGTTCAAAGAGAAGATACAAAGGCTTGGAGGTGGTTCTTGACAGCTTTAAAGAAAGATCTTGGTATTGTGAGAAGTGCTCTTTGGACTATCATGTCCGACAAGCAAAAAGTGAGTGTGCCTTTGCTATATTTCAAATTTCTCATATCGTACAAGGGCTATTTGTAAATATTTATTAATGCTTGCTTTATGAATTTACTTATGGCAGGGTCTAATAAAGGCAGTGGGAGAATTGTTCAATGGTTCCCCACATAGATTTTGTGTCAGACATCTTTGGCAGAATTTCAACAAAAATTTTAAAGGTGAGGCCCTCAAAAACCAACTCTGGAAATGTGCTAGAAGTAGTACTGAAGGGAAATTTAGACAGAATATGAATGAAATGTTGGTTCTAAACAAAGAGGCACATGATTGGCTAGAGGAGTTGGACCCTCCAACATGGGTTAGGGCATTTCAAAATGAATTTCCTAAGTGTGATGTCTTGTTGAACAATAACTGTGAGGTGTTCAACAAGTACATATTGGATGCAAGAGAAATGCCCATAATCAGCATGTGCCAAAGGATTAAAGGACAGTTGATGGGAAGAAATCATAGCAAGCTACAAGAGGCCTTGAAGTGGCCTGGTACTATATGTCCAAAAATAAGGAAGAAATTGGACAAAAATGTGGAATTTGCTAGAACTTGCTATGCTTCACCAGCTGGATTGGGAATCTTTAATGTGAACGATAGAGGCGTAGACTACGGGGTTGATTACCAGTTGAGGAAGTGCAGCTGTAGGAGATGGGATTTGTCTGGCATTCCATGCAGCCATGGAGTAGCTGCTCTTAGATATGACAACATCAATCCAGAGGATTACGTCAACTCATGCTATTCTATCGCAACATATTGCAAGGCATATGAAAACATTATTATGCCATGCAAAGATATTAGTGAGTGGAGTAAAATGAATGGCAGAACTATCACACCACCACCATTGGTAAAGCAGAAAGGAAGAAGGAGGAAGAACAGGAGAAAACAACCA